AATACCCCCCTCTCTAACTCCACTTGAGGCATCCTGCCAGTCTGATGTTAGTCCATTAATAGATCTCTTTACTTGTTACTCAACAAATTATATGACCTTATCTGTTTGTAAACAGCTATACTAACAGATTAGTAATTTCTTGTGCCTTAGAAAGTATTCTCATCACATTACCACTGGAAGATACAGAGCTTGCTCTTTCCCCCTTTCCTGAATACTGGTATCAATCTGAGAGGATGTCAAGACAGCTTTTATGGCATCAGAAGTGGCAGCATTCAGCTATTTTAAAGCAATTCTCCCATCTCATAGTAATAAATCAACCAGTCCCTATTCATTGTGTTCTGACAGAGGTGACTTCTGTGTTGATTACATCTTCTTAGTGCTAAGACAGTAGCTATTTTATACTTTCAGAAGGATAAGACTTCCTCTGACCTATTTAAAACAGACTAGAGTACACATTCTGTTAAATCTTATCCAGGTGCTGGTAAGGAAAAGTAGATTGACATTTTTTGATGTGGAAAGACAGTCTAAGTAAAACAATATACTTCTTTCTTTTCCCTTTTTTTCCCATCAACACAGAAATAAGTGCAGTTAGCAGTCTTCTCTCTAGTGGCTGGAGGCTTGAAAGCAGATGTCAGTGCTGCTATTAAAGACTTTGTAGCAAGAGGGATAAAGTTCCAGCTTCTTTCTCAAAGTTATGTGACTAGATATCCTGCTGAGATAAATCAGCATTAGCTCCACTCACTACAATAGTACTGAGCTAGTATACTTCAGCTGCAAACTTAGCTTACTAACTGCAATTCCTATAAGGCTTATAGTATTTTTAGGGCATATAACCAGGTAGATATATTGTATTGTTCACTGACTCTATTGGTTTTTTTGACAGACCAATGAACACCAAACACTTTTCTGTATGTTTTGAGTTCTCTTTAACCATCACTGTTCTTATATTTTTGTATTTTGCTACCTTATTATTTTACATGATACCAGAAGTCAGGGACAGAATTTCCTTTGTTGGAAATCCTACAATATTTTACATTAGTTTCAATTGTTTTTAGGTCAGTTGAATTTTTCCTGCCAGTATTTAGGGTATGTTCTAATTCCTAACATATCCAAACTGCATGTTTTTAACACACTCATGTATTCTGTACAGATATATAAGACAATGTACATATTTATTCTGAATTAAATAACGCTTTTTTAATTGCCCATTTTCATCCGTATCTGAATTTGTTATCTAAAACCAGTTCAAGTATTTATATCACTATTGATTCTCCTGTGAATGTCAATTAAGTCTTGTTGGTCTGAGTCTGCAAATGTGACTAGCAATTTCACTGTTTCAGGTTTTGGCAGTAATGAGTCACTAATAACACTAAAGAGCCTGATTTCAGACAGGAATGAGTACCCATTCACTAAAAAAAAAAAAAAAAATCAGACCACATGAAGAGAAGCATATAAAAATTAAGGCTTTTAAAATCATTAATCACTTTTTAAAAACCTTAAGTAACCTTTTACCATGAATGCTCAAGTTGTGTGTTGAAGCATGATCCTATTCCACAACTGAAAAACAACTAACACATAAAAACCAAATAGGTCTTCTTTCTGCTCACTGCTTTTTGCTTTGTCTTTATGCTAAGATGATGATTCATTACAAAAATAGACAGGTTAATGTTTTTTCAAAGACTTATGCAAAGTGGTATAGGATCATGCTTTTCTAGTAGAAGAATTTGAGGGAAGAAACTCATATCGTTTGATATTTTAATCTTTTCCCAAAACTTTTCTTTGTATGCCTCACAAATGACAAATATAGATAACTGGTATTAATTCTCACTTACATGCAGTGTTTTGGCTGGTACTTTTCAATCCAAATTCCACAGTCGGAAACCCTAAAAGTTATTCAACTGTTTTTTCTCAACCATTATAAAATATGATCACAGGACTTCAGTGTTTATATGTCCTTAAACTGAAACAACCAGAGTTAATACAACTTGCCTTTTAAATGAAAGACAGCTTGCACTTCATATTCACCTTTCATAACACACATGTAACTTCCCATGTCTTTTTTCTCTCGGACCTGCAATCTGAAAAATTGTGAAATATTTTTTTATTCTACTTTTAGATACCAGGTACTTATTCCTCATATTTTAGACACCAAGATGAAAAATAATTACTGAACAAAGTAAAATTTGCAGAAAGATGGGGGTTTGGGTTCTTAATATGGACTAAAAGAAAAAGAATATACAAACCCTGTGAGAAAAAAATGTGAGTCCATGATAACATCTTTCTTTTCATCTTTCTGTAATTCACTAACAGAGACTCAAAATTGAGTATCTTCCCAAAGGATATGATGTAATTCATCCACAAATGGTTGGTTTAGGTGACCATGTACTTAATGAAATGGACAGAGCTAGGTTTCTTTTAAGTAGACCTGAGCAACTAGGTGCATTTCTATTCTGCCCTCAAGTCCTAAAAATCCATTAATGCATCTACTTTTGTAACACACTGGGCATGTCTATATGAGAGGCTAAACGAACAGTAAAATTAATTCTAATGCACATTACTGCAATAGCATAGCTTTTGCAGTGATTCACTAATATGCAGCAGAATTAGTCTACTGCGCATTAGCATCACTTAAAAGGCATGCAGTGGGACTACTGCAAAGTAGTGCCGGTTCCTGCACATTTAGTTAGTACCTGTTATTACAAGCACTAAACTTAATGTGCCGTACCTACAGCACATTAATGCACATGTAGACATGCCCACTGTCATCTTATCCTGAAGACTGAGTCAGAAAAAGCAGCAAGGTGGAGAATTCATCCACCTTTTATATTAACAGTTTTTCACATTAGAACAGAATTGCATTTAGGTGCTTACATCCACTTGTGTGTCTAATGGGGGAATCTGTTCCATAGTCATTACTATGTAGCAAGTCAGAGCAGATGAACATAATGCTTCTGAACCATGTTTGGGAGCCCTGGAATGAAGCACAGCATGCCTATTTGTGTACATACTACATCCCAACACATATGTAAGGTAACCACCAGATGCATGCCAATATGCTTGCTGTCTCTATCATACTGACCGGAAGGTGCTTAATGGCACTCTGAAGTGGTGAAGCGTGCCCCTTTTAGAATATAGCATGTGCTGCACTACAGTGCCATAGTCTCTAACATGGCCTAGATGAAGTCTAGATATGGCCAGTGAGTTTATGATATAATAACTAAAAGCTAGACAAATTTAGACTGGGAAATCAAAAACAAACAACTAACTGTGAAGGAATCAACAAATCCTAATTAGTAGTCCTAGCAAATGCTTCAGAATTGTAGATTTTTAAAATAGAAAATAATGTTTTTCTTTCTAAAATGTATGTTCTATTTTTTCTCATAAGAATGAACTCAGGAAAATTGTATGGCCTGTGTTATATAGGAGATCAGACTCAATTATGACAATGGTCTCTTCTGGCTGTATACATTTTGAATCTAGAAAATTAAAAATGGCAGTCCAGGGAGTTCATATCTAGAAACTTCTATATGCCTTTAAAACTTCCTATGAGTAACAGAGTTTAAATGCATTTCATATGCTTTTTTTTCTTTTTCTATTCATTATGCATTATTCATCTGCCTTTTTACCCAAAAGGATTAGAACCATAGACATGTTGATCTGGAATCATTGGGCATTTATACACGTACTTTTGTCTGGTCTGTCACACCAGAAATCCAGTGCATCAGAGCAGACTTGATCTGGAGCAGGGCACAGCCTGTGGTGCTGGGGAAACATGTAGTTTGGGATGCCCCTGCAACACAGGAGCCTGTGGCTGGGGAGCTGAGTGTGAGGCCAGCATGCTTGCACTGCACATGCTTGTGAGGGGGAGGAGTGGGAAAAGCACCAGTCTAGTTTGCAGAGCAGGGGACCTGTGGCCCATGCTGGTATGATCTGTGCAGCATGTGGCTTCCTCACAGGGCATGCAGCTCCCAGCCACTTAGAAGTTGTACAGCCCTGTTCTAACATATTTTTAGAAGACTCCCCATATAGGAGATCTCACAGCATCCCTAGCTTGCCTATTGGGTTCTTCCATCTTAATGATTTTGCTAATAGCCAAACTAAATCCTCTTCTGCAAATTAGGCTGGTTTGATTCTGTGCTTCTGTCAGTAAGTATGTAGAATGAATGATCACTGTCTTACTTCCAGTAAGTGAATAAAGCAGGAGAGGGCAAAAGGCTTTTTCATCTCTTATCCCCATGGTGGGAAGGAGAGTAGAGGGACAGAGTACACCAGTACAGTTTGAGAGGACTGATCAGTAGCTGGAGTAGCAACTGGCTGAGAGAACTAACTCAGTCACCTGTTCCCTTTTCAGTTTCCTTTGCTTAGACCTCAGTTTACCAGCCAGAAGGAAGAAAGAAAGAGGGGACAAAGAGAGGGCAGAGTTAATCTTAGCCCTTTACTTGATGCATGGCTTCCATATACCAGTTACAGGAATATATTAAACCTAACTGTACCTTATTCAGTGTGACCTTTTAAAAATCTAAGCCTTTTATAACATAACATTTTTCTATTTGGTAAACTTTTGATCGGATATCCTGAAGTATGTGCGTCACAAAGCCGCCCATAGCTACCAAACAACAAATGCATTTAATTGTATTCCTTCAAACGTCAATCAAGAAGGCAGCTACTTACTTATACTGAGTACTCCAGACATTTTTGGTTTCATTACTAGTGACATTACTTTCGATTGTTTTAGTATCCTTCTTCCAAGTCTTTTCAATGGCTACCGCATGAGTAGATACACTGGCCACAGTACACGAGAGTTCAATGTTAGCTGGACTGTCTAATGTTATATTTTTTTCCATTAATGGAGAAGAAAATCCTAACAAAAGGAATAAAACAGATGAGAAATGATCTGAAAGAAACAACATGCTTCTTTATTTTAGGAAGGGTTTTTTTTAAGCATATTTTCCAATTACTGAGCCAATTTCTGTTTTCACTTGCATTGATGTAAAACCTGAGAACTGCGGTGAAAATACCTTCTTGCCTTTATACTAGTAAAAGGCTGAGTATTTGGCCCATTGTTATTTATCCATATAATTTTTAATGTAGACAGAACTACAGTGTTAAGCAACCATTTGTTTAGCCAGTCGATTATTTAGCATAGGTGAATCCAAAAGCATTCTACAGAAGGAAAACCAGACAGCTAAAGTTTAAGAGACATGGGATAAGGCTTTTGAAAGTGCCTAAGTGACAGATATACACAAGCCACAGAGTCAGGCTGTATTTTGTTTTCTGTCCTCCTAGACATGTCTACACATGCTATTAATGCACAGTAAAGTTACTATGCATTACAAAAAGAGCAAAAGAGCAGTAAATTGTCCCTGGGGAAAGGGTCTACATGTGCACTGGCTTGGGAGCAAATTTGCTCCCAAGCACAGCAGGTGAGGCCAGGGGTGTTCCTGCCCCCCTGCCCCATGCAGCAGCCAGGGAGAGCTCCAGGCTCACGGGATGCCAGCTAGGGGATGGCAAAGGGGAGGGGGTAGAGATCACGCCACATGGGGGGATGGCCACATGACCAGGAGGGTCCTGATCCCCACATTACTGGGAGGCATCCCCGCGTAATCTACTGCATGGTAAAGCGTCTCATGAAGACACACCCAGTGACCCCACTCCTTCAACACCAAGGTTAGAAGTTGCCCCTTTAATTTAGTCTTTAGCCTACTTGTTAGGATATTTTCCTGGAAAAGGGGAAATGTGAGTTTGACCTTTCTTAACTTGAGGAGTCCCTAGAAACACGGTGACATTTTGAAGAGCAGGATGCTGAATACATGAGACATTGCAGACACTTTAATTACAGCGGCTCCCAAGAGCTCCTGTAATTAAAGCCTGCCCTCACCTTGGGGCATGTGTAAAGATACCCTATGGAAGTAAACTGGATCTGGCCCTGTAAGTCTAACTGACTTTGAATTCAGCAGGAGTTAGACACCTAAATTATTTTGTGGATCTGGCCCTTGGTATTTTTTATAAATCTATCCTGTGGTCCTTCTGAGCCTAGTTAAAAAAACCTGTTGTTTGAAGCAACTGTATATTATATTATTTAAGCTATCTTCAGTTCCATCTGCTCTTGCTATTCTATTCCCCTGAGCTATTCTTAATACTACAAACAACAATGAGAGAACATTTCTAGATGCATGTGTGTGGCTTTTGACCAGTTTCTTGGGTATACAAATGTGAATAGCCAAAAATAAGATTTTTATCGTAAATTGTCATCACCTAAGAAAAAAATATGTGAATAATATGCCATTTAAGTCATATATAAAATAAACCTCTGGCTTCACACCTCCATGCAAAATGCTGACATTTCATTTCAGCCTTAGGCATTCCTACTTTGCCTAATAGATACATCTGCTGTTGGTTGCCTGCCTGAAAATCCTAAAGGTTTCTTTTCCACAGGAGCATATCATGCAGCATCCAGGATGGGTAAAAGGCATGGTGCACTGAGCGCACTGCACATCCTTTACCCTTCCTGAGAAGAAAGATGTTTGCAAGTAAGCCATAGGGCCCATCTAATAGCCTTCTGCCCAAGAATGAATTTCATCCAATAGAAACTGAGACTCCTCAGTGCCTTACAGACTGGATGCTGGTGACTGCTTCCTACTTTAACTCATGGTAAGCTATTTTAATTCAGGATTCAGCCTCTATTGGTCCTATACATTTGTTTCAGCTCCCAAACTTGTAACAGAACTTTTCCCTCACATGATCCACTTGTGGCTCTCCTTGACACCTCCCAAGGTAGCAGATTGTGCAAGATGCTGAGTTGCTGAGTACCTTCTGCCCTAAATTCCTCTCAGCTTCTCTAAGTGAATTCACTAGAACAGCATATTTTCCCCTCCTTAAATTGATTTATGGTTCTTACATTTTGTCATTCTGAGTTGATAAGACAAAGTGCTTATTGCACCTACTTGTATTTCTAATAAAATGTTTGGAGTCTCATTTTCTGCAGCATAACAGTTATTAGAACAGAATAGCAATGAATAATGGGACAAGCTTGCTCATCTTTTCTCTTTTACAAGATCTATGCTTTAGTATTTTTCTCCACTATAGTGCTATTGGTAAAGCTATAGATGAGAAGTGACTGCACTTTAGGCACATACATATAGCAATCTAAGGAAATAATTTGTAATCATACTAGAGGATGAAGAATGAATATATTTACCAGGTATGGATATGTTGTACGCCATCCCTGTGAGATTAGTCTGTTGTGTGGTGTAACGTGGACCTATTGAAAATAGAAAAGCTCAAGTGATATGTTCTTCTTTACAGATGCAATGCTGCTGCAGAGAGTTACTGCTGTAGTGTAATGGGTTCTTTTAATACACGAATACAAACACCAGGGCCTGTCTAATATTAACAAAACAACTGCCCTTATGTAACTCAGTGACAATTAGGAGTCTGACCACAAGAAGGTGTCTGTGACTGTCACAAAGCTGATAGAAACTGAGGGCAAGTGAAACTTTTCTAAATTATGACAATTTAGGAAAAAGGATATTTAGCTTAAGTCAATGAGGCTTACATTTTGACCATGAGGTTTAGTGCAAGTTCTTTTAGGAAAAGAAGGAAGATGAATAAATGAAGGGTATGGATAAATGATCTAATTGACAAAAGTTAACTGGAAGCAGGGACTTACTACAGAGCATGTGACCCGCAGTAAAGGTTCATATGCTTGCAGCAGCCCTGCTGTGACTACAAACCTTAGCCTGGTTCAGAAGTAAACTGTCTGATTTACCAAGGAGCAGGATTTACCATGGAGCAACTCATGTGCCTGAACTGTCTGTGTGCTTACAGTTACCACTACAGGCTGGGCACAGACTGGCTAAGTAGCAGCTCTGCAGAAAAGGCCCTGGGAGTTACAGCAAACAAGCTGAATACAAGTCAACAGTGTGCCCTTGCTACAAAGAAGTCTAATAGCATACTGAGCTACATTAGTAGAAGCATTGCCAGCAGATTGAGGGAAGTGATTTTCCCCCCCTCTATTTAACACTGGTGATGCAACACCTGGAGTATTGTGACCAGTTTTGGGCCCCCCACTACAGGAAAGATGTACACAAATTGGAGTGAGTCCAGCAGAGGGCAATGAAAATGGTTTGGAGGCTGGGGAACATGACTTTTGAGAAGAGGCTGTGGGAACTGGGCTTAT